AGAAGTTGATAACAATAATTGTTAATTAAGGTGAAATGTAAATAATAAAGCATAAGTTTATTAGTTGTAATTTTAAATTGGAATGTAATGTTACCATACGGTTTTCGATTTTTAAAAGAGCTGTCTATCCCTATACTTGGTTGAAAACTACCAGATTTATCTATACCTATGTATATTTTTTGGTTGTATTATTACGGTTCTATAATCGCATAAAGTTTTAAAATATTTATTTTTTTTTGTAGCAGGTTAAAACCGGTATAAACCGCAACTGTGACCGCAATTTCATATTTTTAAAATGTATAATTAAAACCGAAACCTTAACAATATTATTTTGGAAAACCGAAACTGAAAAAAACATAAAGGTTACAAACCCTGTTTGTGACCAGCCAATAATTTATCTTGAGATGATTGGATACATTCAATAGCTTTTAAAATGTCATCATTCGAAGTKYACTTCTCAGAAGTAGTGAAAGTTGAAGAAAGCGAGCGAGTAATGACTGATGAAGGCTTGGACGTACTTTGTGGCATAATAAGTAGAAGTAGGAAAAGAATAAAGAGTTTTAGTTTAGTGACAGTAGGGTAACACTATGACACCATTGTATAAGAAAAGCTTCTGAGYACGCAGTGTATACAATGGGTGTGATTTGGTCGTATCTCAAATCGGCACTTGTAACTGAGCGGCGTGAGATAACGCAGACCGTGTGACCTTCGGGCATGTAAACATTTAAAATAACTTCCGTATTTTCGACAGCCGTGTATATCTATGTGGAAACCACAAAAATTATTCTTATGCAGAGAGTTTTGGGTGGASCGAACATAAATCGACACCAGCCTAAGCATGCACTTATAACAGAGTAGTTACAACAAAGAACGCAAAAAACTGGTAATTATTAACGGAAATATATGCGAACAAATAGAGAGMAAATTTTACTACTGCGACGCGATGTCATAATATATAGTAATTTATATTACTTTGCCAATAGTTTGATATAATAGTGATATACTGATATTAAAACCAAAATAAATATATGCAATTAAAATAATTCATTTTTATTTGATATCAAACATATCACAAGACTTCTCGTATTAAGAAGTAGTATCTCATAATAAGTAAGTACTTATACTCATCAAAATATTAAAATATAGAATTACAATATAAAAAAATAAAATTAAAATAATGTATCTGGGTAGGTAAGTACCTACTTATATAAAATCTACATATTTATCAGGTAAAGCATTATCAACTTTTGATTTTCAAATGACRACCTATACTTAAAATTTCATAAACTAAAAAGGCTATTTTTCAATGAATTTTCACCTTTAAATTTTCATTTTTCGTAAATCCGTTAACAAGATATAGCCTCCAAAAGTTGGGTTGTTTTGGGTGATGTTGGTGTCTGTGTGTTATAGGTGTATGTTTGGTAGAATTTACACAAAAACACTATAAGAGTGTTATTTGATAACATAATCGCCTTGCATAATTTTAGATGTACACCTAAGTTATAAAATAAAGTAATAAATACATCAATAAAACTGAACCAATATAAACATATAAAAATAATATAAATTGGCTATTCATAGATAAGTATATTAATTTTGTACAATAATCAAATAATTTAATATCCAAAATATTCCAAACCATTTAGTTTCATATTTAATTCATAAACTTGTGGATAAAACATAATCAAGTTTCAATTTTAATTGATCCTTGATCTTATGTTAAGTTAGTCAAGGTTAATTTTGATCTTCGTTCAATCCAGACAACAATGGCAAACTTTTCCAAAAGTCATATTCATCAACATTCGGCCTCTCCTTAATCAAAGAAATCCTTGTATTAATCAAAACATATTCATATATCTTAGTGTCAATGTTGGCCATTTTTATCCCTTTTTCGTGCCATCAATGGTGATGGAGCTAAACCAAAACTTTAGGGTTGTATAAAATGTATTTAATCGTGCACACCTACGCTTATAACTAAACAATCGTGATGACGTACTCGATAGTCACAGAATTTGTCCATATGTTCACTATAAGATTAGATACACCGAGGTACTCTCCTTATAGTTCTCCACGTTTCTCTGTATAGAATAGACTGGTTACTTCGTCTGCTAACTTTTTTGGAAATGGGTATGGTCCATACAACGAATTAAATGACACATTATTCAAGTGATCGTATATGTAAATTCAGATCATGATAACTCGATTCCTATCCATGACTACTTCAAGGAATATTGGTTATAAAATATAATACTTCCTAAGACCAATTAATATTAATTGATGCAGTGGAAATCAAATCAATTAAAATATGATATCATAATTTGAATATAATTAACAAAAAATAACTCTATAATATTATTGTAATACTATTTTTAAGATGATTTAATTAATTTAATAAAATATTTAAATTATTTGTAGTTGAAAAATTACTCAGATATTGAAAGATCGGCAGTTTTCATGTATTTTGTTTCGGTTAAAATAACGTTAGGTATAACGTATAGACTCAAATGGAATCAACAGAGAGAAAAACACTATTAAGTGAATAATTTATAGTTTCGCTAAGTTATAAAGTCAGCAATCGATGGTAGAATATCTATAGTTCAATCTATTATTGCTAATTTAGGTCAATTTTTTTAATCACTGAAAAACTAACTAATAAATATTTGGGAAAACTTAGGGTAAAGAGGTGAAAGTATACATATATGAGATATATCTATTATCTATGCTCTATGGCCTCTGGGTAATAAATATTAATTATTTTCAGCATAAAAAAACTTATTGAGTTTAAATTTGATTAATAATATTTTCATTAAAATAGTAAAATACATACTCCAGACTACCAGGCCACATTTTTTATGTAAAAATCAACATTCAATTTTTGAGTCAAGTACCTTCTAATATAGTCATTCGACATTCAATACAACATACTAAAGTCTAAAGAGCTGTATACCTATTATTTTGATGTTAGGTTTTCACTTTAAAATATATACGAAGCACATTTTTTAGTGAACTATAACTACTTATTATAAGTAAAGTAATTTGAAACTGAATTTCAGTAAAATTACTAACATTGTTAAATGTTAATCTTCGTTTAAACATGTAATTTCAACCAAATTAAAACTCCAAATATCTATAAAGAAAAATTGTGTATATATTTTTCTAGAATTTTCGTTGTCATTATGAACTACGTACTTGGAATATCATACTAAATTCCCAATTCTAATCTATACAAATTGAATATAATGTTATACATTTTCAACTACAATATAATTTTTCACATTTTCATGATTTTAACGAATTATGTCAAAATTTATAACTTTAGAACCTCATTAAAAATATTTTGTGTAATATACTAATATACTAACGCCCTTAAATTAGGTACACTTATAAGAAATTATGAGGAACCGCTTGTACTACATTTTCTAGTAAAATATTATTCATCAACAAAAATTGAAAAAAATATCAAAAACTATCTAATACTCATAAAGTCATAAGTAACTCCAAAACCAAAGCATTTTTAAAATGTTATAGTGAATAAAAAATTATATTTATATATATACATATATATTATATATGGCATATGCGAACATGAAATGTACAAAAAACTCGGACAATATAGGTTTTTGAATGACAGAAACATTATTCTATCATCTTTAATAATAGTATAGTACCTCAATTAATTTAAAAAGTAGTTATACTTAAAGAAGTGTTTAAATATTTATTAATCATCGCAAAATATTATTATTATCAGAAGACAGAAAGAATATCAGTCCTGTTTTTAAATATTTTTTACAAACCTCTATTAAAATTTATTAAAATTTAAGTACCTATATAACTTAGGCTCGGATTTATATGTGTACCGTCATTGTCGGTAATTCCGGCATTAACKGTAATGACTATAGGCAATGTCAGTATGCCGGTGCATACCAGTCATTGTAGGCTATTGATATATATTTCCGTAATTAACTGGTAAATATAGTCGATGTTATATTATTGTCATTTATCGATATTTTCCAAGGTGGTTATCGATTAGTTATCTTGATTTATCGCGTTAACTATTCCCTCTGACAAAATAATCGTACATAATTTTAGTATCCCTGATGTTGATAAGGCTAGAGGATCACCTCGTAATTTATTAGCCGTTGTCACTGATGTTCAAGATGGCTTGTAAAAACTATGTAAGTGGTTAAATTTAAAAATAAGAAAATTATAAGAAAAAATTAATTTTTTATTTGTACAATATTAGGTACAGAAAATGGTTTCTTAAAGCAGAGATACACGTGAACAGAAATAGTTCCATGTGACGAAAACTTTCTCGATTTTAAGAAGACCACAAATTCCGCAAAAGAAAGGGAAATTACTCTCTGAGAGGCTGCCGGGCATAACAGTATTGCTGGGACTCAGGGATATCAAAGGTGTCATTGTAAAACAAAATGCAAATTAATTTACGCTTAACAACTTCATGTTAAAAATGTCTAATATGTCAATAAGTTCGATGACCTTGTATGTCAAAAACACTTTAAAATAATAATAAAAAACAAAACAAAACGCCAAAATGATCAATGTGCTTGTCGAGCAGCTAAAAACTTATGTAATTCAAAATGCCATAGTAGTTTATCTTATAAAAATAAATAAAATATATTTAGATAATACGTAATAATAATCATGGTTATGTTGATTTAAATTATATAAATAAATAAAAATAAAAAATAAAATAAATAAATAATAAATAATAATATATTACCCAAATTAACTATCGATTGTAGGCATTTTATATATTGCCTATAGCCATTGTCTTGTCAGTATTGCCTTACCTAATTAGCCATTGCTAATATTGATTAGTAATTACTGATAATAGCTTATTTCTGACATTGACGGTAACATATGTATTTATATAACCAAAGTATGTATGTATATTTATACAACAAAAAAATGTTCATAAATATATGCTAAAAAATTCATATATATTATCAAAAAAAAAAAAATTTTAATAATAATAATTAATAATATAATGAATTAAAATTTAAAAAAAATATATTTATACAACTATCTAGTTATCAATAAAAAATAATAATAATAAATAATTTAATGAAATATAATAAAAAAAAAATAAATATTTATTCTACTACCTAATTATATTGAATAACGAACAACGAACACAGATTAAACCCACGAAATTAAAACACGACCAATTCGTTAATGTAGGTATACTGACTTACCGTCAATAGTTCAAACGCAAACACGTGTTAATAAATCGTTATCTATCATCTATTGTTTATTGAAGTCATAAGTATCAAACATACATCGACTGTAGATATTTTAATACTATGTATTATTTTGCTACTATTTTGTACTTTTTGGAAACACCGGAAATTTAAAAAAAAAAATTGAAAAATACAATCGTATTATAGAATTAATAATTAGATAAATAATAAAATATCTTAAATGAACAAATTGTCGAAATATGAAAGAAAAATGGAATTATTGAGAAATATGTAAAAACATGTACTTATGACAAAATATATAAAAAAAATTTAAAATAAAATATAGTTAATTTCATTGGAAATCCCTTGAAACGAATTTATCACTTACCTAAATTAATTTATCATGTCATAGTAAAAATATGTATTTACATATAAATCCGAGTCCTATATATAATCAATCCAAAAAACCATTTAGCTGTGCGTATAATCTAATGGGATTTTTTCTTTTTTATAATAGCACGGAAAAGTTTAATTCTGTGTTAAATTTGTTATATTTTTACGTTTTAGAAACTTTCATCAAATCAACCATTACGTTATTACACAGAAGCCAAAGATTTACTGCGATCGTATTATATGCAACTGGTGGTTTCAGCGGCTCTATAATAAGCATTGTCTGTTTTTTATGACCGTACCGCGATTATTGTAAAAGACGTTGCACATCACCGGCAAAAGACAACCTCACTGAACAGCGAGGGCCGTGAAAATGCAAAAGTCACAGAAATACAGAATATAGGTCTGAACGGACCCAACTAGTGTTTAACATTTGAAATTAATTATAAATTGTAACTATTTAGAATAATGTATTTCGGCGATTCAGCTTATTATTTGATATAAACGTAAAGACTTCGAAGTTTAGGCTCTTAACATTTTGTGGTTGCTTTCGTAAGTATTCGGGAGTGTTACATGTCTATGTTTCGATGTATATATGTTAACATGTTTTTGTTCCCGGCTAATGACTTTAATGTTGAAGTCGTATCAATAAATAAAAAAATATATTATGTAATTATAATCATTTTAATACCACATTATTTATCAAAACATGAAACTATTTTTAAATAATGTATTATTTTTCAGTTAAAACAATATAATATGGTTATATTTAGTGGTTAAAATACTTAAAAACAGTTTCCTGGTTAATATTGCAGGTTATTAATTATTTTTTCTGTTATTGGTCATCATATAAGACTGATATCTCAGTGTATAAAAAATGTCATTGCTTACAGTTATATATTATTATAAGTTTATTTTTTAAATCTTATGAAAATTATTTTCACCAAATGTCTATTTTATCATTTCCTAAACATGATATGAAATAATCATGAGAATTTTATTCTGTCCCTTACAGGTAATCAACGTTATTTTAATTTTCATTTGAAGTATAACATTTGAAACAAAAATAAAATTGTAAATGCCACTGAAATTAAACATAAACTTATGTTTGATTATAAGAATTAGTTAAGTTACTGAAACAAATTATTACAATTTTGAATATTTATTAAAAAAAACTACGATACAATTTATTGGAAAATATGAACTAATGTTACGTAACATAATCATTATTAAATTAATCAATTTTAAAGCGGATAAAAGGTGCAAACTATTTTAAAGATATTATCAACATATGATTTCTCCTTAACCAAAGAATACCTATATTAATCAAAACAAATTCATACTTTAGGGTATCAAATTTGGACCATTTTTCTCCGTATACTATATCGTCAATGGTGATGTGACTTAATCAAAATGTTAGTTTTGTTAAATTTATATATTTAATTGTGTATATTTGTAACCAAACAACCATGATATCTTAGTAGGCTGCTGTGAAATGTACCTATATGTCAACATTTTATCAACCTACTAGTTAGTGAATTTTCTAAATTAATTCAGTTAATTTGAAATATAGTAGGTGATGGACTGAATCAAAATTATAGTTTTACAAATCAATGATTGTGGTTAAAATTAATTAGACAATGATTTTAAATAATAGTTAACAAATAAATATATTTCAGTTTGATAGTAGAAGATACAATCAGATACAGATAAATACATAAAATATAATCGGATAGAGTCCTAAACCACTAAAATGTAAAATAATAAAGAACAACATAATACAAAATTTCACGCTTACTGATTCTAAATGTTAAATTTTCAATTATTTTATCAATAAGTTTGATGATATTGTATGTCAGAAACACTTGATAATAAAAATTAAAAATTAAAAAGGTGCAACTTCCAAAGTTGCACTGAAATCACTGACTTGTGACTAAAAAGCAATCAACTGTTTTCTCAAATGTATTACATATTGATGTCGAATTTTCATATTTAAATAATGCATAATATATTATTTGGTAACTTTTAACTTATAAAGTTATAAGTTATAACATAATGTTCTAAACGTTGTCTTATCATTGACTAAGGTTATTTTTTTTCATTAACATGTCCACCATTTAGCTATTAAATATACTACATGTAATACAAATGTGTTATTTAAAGCTAATCTTGCACTCCAGATAATAGTGGCAAGCTATTCCAAAAGGAATACTCGTCAAAGTAGGGTTTCTCAGATATAATTGGCTTACTTGAATTAATTAAAACAAATTCGTATTTCTCGGTAGTGAATTTTGGGAATAGTTTTTCTTCATCTGTGCCATCGATGGTGAGATAACTAAACAATATTTAAAATTTTTAGCTCTCTGTTTACTCAGAAATCAATAAACAAGAACAAACATACTCTGTTGTAGCAAAATTGGTCCATATGCTCACCATAAGATTTGACACATCAAGATCCTCTCCCTGTAAGTCTGACCGACCGGCTGTATAAAATAAGCTTGTTACCTCATCAGTGTGCGTTACTCCTAATTTTTTTGGATATGGATATGGTCCGTACAATGAATTGTAAGAAAACATATTTGTATAATTATACACGTAATAATAAACTGGTTGTGATAGCTTGATGGCCATTTGAAAGATACCGTGTAAAAATAGACCACCGGTAATCATCTTGAAGCGTTTAAAATGAATATATTTAATAAAACTTTGTATCAACAACTAGTAATAATTATAGCAAGGCTGTTGTTTATATAAGCAATATATTATTATACACAACTGTATTACATCCAATACTTACTTTTACAGCACTCAAAGGCTGATCTAACTTCCCGTTAGAGAAGTACCGTTTATAAATTTTTTCACCAATTAATGGAATATCTGAATAATTTGCAGTATATCTATACTGTATAAACGATGACGTATAATGATTGAAATCTTCTAAAAACTCTGTGTATACTAGATCAGTCGCATTGTACATCCCTTCAAAATATACAAATAAAGGCTAAACATTTTTTTTCTTAGTGGAGTATAAAAAACTATCAACAATTTAGAATAATTTAATCTAAAACAAAAAACAATAATAACTTGCACTAATTTGATGATAAAATTTAAAAATTAAATGGTTAAATTTCAACGTGATTATCAACAAGTTACCTATTCTCAACATTTTAGAATTAAATATAATCATTACTCACGAGATGCATAAATACCACCTTCTCCGGTGTTCATTCCCATTAATACTGGAACTTTTGTAATTTGTTTTAAGTGAAGTAAAGGATAATCGCACAAAAATGATTCTTTTGAACAATTACATTTTTCAACAACAGGCATCATATTTCTAAGCGGGTAATTTCTCCATTCCTGTAAAAATAAATAGTTATATTGAGCATATGTACAAAATTTCACTGAATTGTGTACATTTTTTAAGATTTGTGACACATGATAAGTTAAAATAAATATTTGATTGTCTAAATTAAATTTCATAAGTAAAAGCTACTTGAAAGTGGACCACAGCCATTTTTCTCTAGAAAAGTAATCTATTCATTGGTCGTCTATAATTGTCCCCAAAAATATAATATAAAAAAACAACCATTTTCTTCAACCACGTTCTTTGCCGTTAATTATAAAAATAATCATTAGCTTCTCAGTTAATTATTTGTAAACTTATAATGCACGTATAATTTTTTTACTGGCCATAAATACATCTGTATGAACAATGGTAATTTAAATGAAAACGATTTAAGATATTAAACGTTCAAAACGATTTATTCTTAAACGACTAATATTGTTATATTATATAACAAAAAAAATTAAATTAGAACATAAAATATTAAATTATAACTTTAAGTATATTTATTTAGTATAACCTTATTAACACAATTTTTCTACTTTTGAAATAGAAAAATTATACTTAAAAATAGAAAAAATATACTTACGAATAAATTCTTATATACATTCACCAATACTTTTGCAGGGACTTCTTTTAAACATTTAATCATTTGTTTTGGCTCTTCAGGGCATCCAACTATAGTTGAAATAGCAGAAGCTCTTCGTTTTGCCCAACCTGGTGGAGTTACGCCCCAAAGATTTAACGGTGTTGCACTTTCCATGATTGCTTTGTGAAACAACCCTTTAACATAGTATATAATGATTGACGTACACATTTATATATAGGTACATAATTGTATTTTGATATTTTAAGATATTTATTTACCTTTACTCATTGGTGATAACAAATGTAAACCAACACTAGCACTACCAGCACTTTGTCCAAATAAAGTAACTTTTTTTGGGTCTCCGCCAAATTTATCAATATTTTGTTGGACCCATTTTAGTGCTAAAACTTGATCTTTCATACCATAATTACCTGGTAAATCATCGTTTTCAGTACTTAAAAAACCTAAAAATATTAACTACAAATGTATTAAAAATATAATACTTAAATAGATAATATACCGAGAATTCCAAGTCTATAATTAAATGTAACTATTACAATATCCTTATCCAACAAATAATGAGGACCATTTGAACTTAAACCTCCTGAACCTGCGAAATATCCTCCACCGGGAATTCGAATCATAACTGGAAGTAATTCTGATTCATTGTTTTTTGGTATCTAAAAATATCATAAATTATAATATAATATTGACCAAATTTTTATTTTTCAATAACTAAATCAATATATTATTATTTTCAACTAAGAGATTAGGTGCTTATTGTTGAGAAGAGATTTATTTATTAAAATTAAAACTGTAATGTATTTTGTATTATTTGATTACCTACTTTTGGAGTGTACACATTGACATATAGACAGTCTTCTGCASCGACAAGGATATCCATTTTCTGATAATGAAATAAATTCTTCTGAATACACGCTTGTGGCTCAGTAGTAGCATTTAAAATGCCTATCCACGGATCTGCTGGTACTGGATCCTAGTAACAATAATCTTAATTACATTTTAAGGAATTTAGAGTAGGCAAGTTTCAATTTTTTAACGACCATTAGTGTATTTTAGATGTAGATTGAATGTATAACCCCAAGTGACTGTCGTCTATAAATACAATATTTTAAGTATAAAGCATTATGTTTGCCTGCCTCAATAAAACAAGGCTTGGAACTGTGCAAAATATTATTTAAAATACCTGTTAGCTTAAAAATATAGTTTTGATTTCAAATATAAGCTTAGTACTATAGTCAGTGATATTAATTTAATTACAGGTCTAGATAATGGTTTTGATTGTAAATCATGTTTCAACCTTGGACGACTCAAGATACTTGGTTTGAAAGAGAGCAAAGTCATAATTTTTAGGAAAACTTTCGATATCACTTGTGTGTTTTTTTTTTTTAGCTATATATATTGTCTTAGAAATAGAGTGATGGGAGATAGTCGCGGCCTCTAGGGCCTTCCGGAACCACTCTAGTTTCAATATAGGTCCATCATTACATGTACGGGTAACCAAGGTTAGGAAAATAAAAAGATTATTACTATTATATTTTTCTAGAAAAAGAATAATTATACTGCTATTAAAAATTATATTAATTAATTTTTAACAAAGTTAAGTTATTTTTTTTTTTTTACTAAATTAACTAGCAAATTGTACAGCTTTAAAATAAAATAGTATAAATTATCACGTTATACTTAAATTACATTTTTGCATACCAACTTAACTTACTGAGCTAAAAATATAAGATAACTTTACTAGCTATACATTAAAATAATTACCTACCTTAAACCTAAGATCTCCTGTAGGTGATTTAGCATAAGGTATTCCCTGAAAAGCTTTGAATTCTCGTCCATTTCTTGATCTCAAACTACTACCAGTCAATTCACCTTGATCTAATTCTATCACCTCATCCGCTCCAAATACAAAACCAAAAAGCAACATAAAAATAATGAATATTTCCATACTTAACTGAAATTAAAAAATGTATATTTGCAAAACATTAGTATTTTATTATACAGCAGAGAATCTTTGTTCAAAAAAATAATGTAACGTTACTGTTTAAGCAAAATATTCATTCAAATGTTTGTTTAAAACAGAAACAACACTTATCAATTATTATTAAAACTTGAACCATTGTCCTATATGTCCATCAATTCAAGTAAAAGTGTTTAAAAAAAATGTTTAACAAATTAATTCATAGTTTAAAAACCCGTTTAGTATTAAATAATATTCATTATCTTGTATAGGCAAGTATAAATTTATCTTACTAAATAAGTGTCTAATAAGTAACATAAATATTAAATAGCTGAATATTTCACTGAAATTAAAAAATATTAATTAAACGTTTAATAAATACTAATATCGACCAAATGCAAAACGAAATTACTTTTAAAATAATATTTTTGATAAAAGATTCAAATGACATTTTTTTAACACTACAATCATCATTTTATGATACATTTCTTAATAAAACTTAAGTCCTTGAAAGCATATTAAATTATGTTAGTGGTCAAATTCTTGCTTTAAAATATTTAAGCCTTTAACGGATAAAATAAAATAATTTATTTTATAAAAAAAAATTAGTGGTTAATAATTATAAATAGGTATTATGCTGTTAAAAAATGTATATAAATATTACAAACTTTTTGATTATGTTTTAACAGGTATTTGGTTTAGCATATATCAAATAAAAATAGCAGGTAACTATAATGTGAAATTTACTACCAGCAATTTTGGCGGTATCAACGTAAATGAAAAAAAAAATACAATAAGAATTGATATGCTAATTGAAAATCCTATCTACCTGTCTAATTATATTTAATTGACACCTGTAATCTTCGAGCTATTAGCATATATCACTCTCTAAGCACATAGCCGATTCAAACGCTATCTTAGTAATTAACATTATTTAAAGAAATAATATTTACAATAAACACAATACATGATTATAATATACTTTAAAATTTACATATGCGCTCGATTATAGTTGGTTAATGTACAAGTGATCAGAAATTCGCTTTATATAATTTGCAGTACAATATACTATTATAATAATCCTCACCAATGATTATGTGACACAGATTAGTATGATTTGGAAAAATTATCAAAATAATTGATAAATCGAAATGAATGATATTATTTGATAATTAAGTTCAAGTATTTATAAACAATAATTCAAAATAATATAATCAGGTGTTATTATACATGTATCTAATAAATAAAAACCATATATTTTAATTATTATTTGATAGGTTAGGTAGTAATAAAAGTGCATTATATTTAAAAGAAACAAATAATAAGTGTTACAATATGTATAATAATTGTTTCAGAAATAGTTATAATCATCTATGTATAAGTATATTCTTTACTTCTGGTTCACTTTTTTATATGATACATAGTATATACTATATAGCTGCTAACAATGATTATTAATGTGGAATATTTACTTAAATAATTAAATAGGTATAATATTAAATCAATTAAATATTTAGATATTGTTCCTAAAACATATTCTGGGATTTTTTCTCTCGACATTTATTATTTATATTAGAAGGTTATTTTTTCAATCATAAAGTTTAACTAACAAAAAAGTTATAAGGGTATTCGAGTATTTGAAAAAAGAAGAATATAGCTATTTACTCAGTATCCCATATGAGTTTTATACTCATTAATATTAATTATTTAATAATTATTACTTATTATTAAGGCTCAGATTTTAAAGCATAATAAATAACAAAAAAGTATAAAAATTTTAAAAAAGCAAAAAAAAAAACATGACTAAAAATTAACATTTATTAGTTACTAGCTGAACCAGTGTACTTCGTAGCCCGTTAAAAATTCTATCTCTTTTATGGTCCATATAGTTCATATTGTGTGTTAAATTCATTTCATGTGATGATGCTATCAGTATATTTTTATACATAATGATAGATAGTGGTTAAAATATATTATAATGTTACAACGATATTCAATTCCGTATATCATTATGTAATTTTCTTCGTTTTTTCAATATAATGTTGACAATTTAAATATTCAATTCAATGATATTTAGGCATAACACTTTCTAACTTACCATATCTTCTGCCCATATGTCTAATAAAATTCAGTACCAAATTTTTTCACAATCGGTCCAGCTGTTTAAGAATGTATATAGGACTAACAGATAAATATTTACAGAGTGTATCAAATAGAACTGACTAAAAAAAAAAAAAAATTATGCTAATTAAACGTACAACAAAAATTGTGAAAATTATATATTTAATAACTAATTTAAGAAATATAACTCATTTCAAAAATAATATTGAAAATAATATTTGAAAGAAGTTATAATGCTCCAAAGTAATTTATGCAAAAAAATATTGATATTTTAAAAAATTCTAAAAAATAAACTAATTGATTTAGATAAATATTTTTACCATCAAAATATTTCTTTTAATTCAATTTACAAATTGGGTATTTTGAATTTTTCCAACAAAAATTTAATCAAATTTAAATTTTTTTATTTTTACTGTTAAAAAAATGAAATTTTTTTTATATTGTACGTGTAGCACAAGGGTCTCTTAATAATCAAAAAAAAATATTAAAAAAATATTAATTAGAACAAAAGTTATTCTAAAAGTCAGTTCTATCTGTTACACCCTGTATATAACCATCACTAATAACACAGAACAATAATAACCGTCACTAAAGCAACCATTTATAAATAAACAAAAATGTCCATCCTAAAAATAAGTTCAGCTGCTCTCGAGAGCCCTTGTTTGTTTAAATGGTTGCCTTTGACTACCAAAACATATTAATATTATTTATTTTATTTTTTACTGGGCAGATGGCGCCACTTTAATTTCATCACACCCTCATCATATTTCTCCAACCCGATAACTTTCTCAAATTTTTCATCCGTAAGAACCTTCTCCTGGCAATTAGGACCCAAACAAAAAAAGAGTGAGCGAAATCGGTTCAGCCGTTCTCAATTGATGAATTGTTATACATTTTTGTCTCCATTTTTATATATATAGATAATTTTATWAAACTGAATGAAAAAAAAATTAAAGTTAAAAAAACAATTTACTATTAAGTATTAGCAAGATTTTCAGTAGCGAAACTTACTCTATATATTGTCCGATAAGATGTTTTTATACATAGAAAACGAACGCTCTGCATCCACTGAAGTAATCAGTGCATAGATCATGCAAGAGGTTTTGTTTAAACCAAACTCATGATAATTTCGTTTGATGAAACGCCACATAGTATAGTATTTATGCCCAGTAATTGTTTCCAGCATTTGTTTTTCAAAAGAACACGATTTAGTTTACCCGTTATTGCAGTTGCAATATCTCCATTAGATATAAATATACTATATTATAAATTATWATTGCATGTTTTCACATTTCTTATTAATTAAATTAACATTTTTGTTTGGAATCAGAATGACGTGAAACGAATTTATACATAAAAATTATATGTTTATCTTATAAATATATAAAGAAACATTTGCTTTAAAATCCGAACCCAGCTATTTTTATACATATATTACATATTTACAATTATATTAGCTTAATTAAATTAGTTGTTTGAATAAATTTGATGACTATCATGTTCTGGTCCGGGTTAGGTCCAAGTATTGTGTCCAAGGTTTGGGTCATGTTGAGGTTGTGTCGAACTTGGTCATATAGTAGGCATTCCGTCATTATGTGTTGCACAGTGAGATGACAACCGCATGCTTGGCATATAGGGTGATCTTCTTTTGCCATAAGGAATCCTTGGGTAAGTCTGGTGTGGCCTATTCTTAGCCGATTTAAGATAATCTCTTCTTTTCGTGATAGATTTGGGGTTTCCCATGTAAATTTTGTGTTTTTTTATCCCATTTGGTTTAGTAGTCATACTATTTTAAAAGAGATGCCATTTTTTACGAAGGAGTAAATTGATGTGGGATTTAAAGTCGTCGTAGGGAAAAACTACTTATTATTATATTTTTATTCATTCATAGAATTACAACTGAATTAAACTATACTCTAATAATTTTTTTGATAACTATAATTTAGTATAGTTATGAACCATAAGGTAAACAAATATATATATACCTACATAATATTATATTGTTGGATTTCATCATCGATTAAAGTATTAATGTATATAGGTAAGTGCTAACTGCAATTCATTTTAATGTGTATTCACGTCATACGTTTATTTAAAACAGTAAGACAACTTTATTAAATTACTGTGTTAGCTTTGAAAAAATGTGTAATTTTTAATTTTATAAAAAAAATAGTAAATCGTTCTTAAGTAAGTTATGTTACTAATATTTTCTAATTATCTTGCAACTTTTAAAAATTAAAAAAAGAGAAAAACTACTTTTGACTTAAAACGTTAAAACTTAACTTTTATTTCTCTATATTAATTCAGGAAGTTAAAAAAACTCCTGTTGACTTTCCCAGCTTTGGAATATACATTAGTTAATTATTTTGCATTTTAGTTGCTTTCGTTTGAGATCCTATGATTTTGAAAGTCCTCGTAAAGGTGATCTGTATAGTATAGGTATTAGGTTCTATATTTATATGTGGACTAGTCAATTATTTTTTTCGATTTTCAATTAGAATATATACATTTAAGGGATTAAGGGCATACATAAAATCCTTTGTTTTAAACCTATAATAATTATTTCCAGGTAGGTATGTTTAAAAGATTCCTGCTTAGAAAATTTTTGGTAGAACTTAATTAAATTATAAATCCAATTTTTGTTTTTTTCATTTTGATATTTAAGTTATTTTTAAGATTATACACAAATTATACAATGAGTCTATAAATAATTATTAAATGTTGATTGATATAAATAAACTGTATGGAACCCCGGGCTACAGCCACCAAAGCTCCCCTTTAAGTAGAGTTTTGATGTTTAAAAGTCAATAGATAAAAAATATTGTCTAAAATACAAATCAATAAATATATGTATAACTGCATAATATTTCAAAATATTAAAATCCGAGTATTTATTTAAATTATACAGTAATGATATTATAAAACCAATCAGGTTGAACATTTTTTTTATTTAATCAATTTGCTTGATTAAATTAAGGAATTTAAAATCAAAACATATGATTCGTGTGAAGATAAGTGGCTTTTTATCGACCTTGAGTAAAATACTAGATAAATATAAATATATCGTTAAATTGCGTCAACCACAGTCGTGTAATACACTAACACTTCAGTAATACTCGCATAAAACCGTAATTAGGCTTAATTACTCCAATACATTAAGTTATAAGTTTATTTTATTAATTAGGTAATGATATGATAATAGTTTTCTACTGAAGTAAATGTGCATATTTATTGATCAATCTTTCGAACTTTGTTTTTTCTCATCACGCATTAAATAAAAACAAATTGTTCATAGTCTGTTCTTATAAAAACTCTATCATATGGATATTATATTATATAGACATATAGCCTAGGTATAGTTAAAATTATTTTAAATAATACTTGTTAATTTGTTGTATAAAATTATATCCCTTGTTAGTTGGATTTATTTTACATTTTACCCCACAGAATAAACATAACATAATAATAATTTATAAAAGTTATCACTTTTTTTATGAATTTATATAAAATGTAGGTATTACACTCAATGTGTATCGTGTATGAATTTGTATTTGATTGTTTTTAAATCAAAGTTCATTTTTCAAAATCTCTCCGGACTTTTTAAATGCTGATAATAATGTTAAACCTTTCCAAAATTTGTACTCTTCTATGTATGGCTTTTTGTATATGATAGGTTTACTTGAATTAATCAACAAATATTTCATACTTTTAGAATCCATCGGCCATTCTTTTCCATTGTTAGTTCCGTCAATCGTGGTTTTGCTAATTAATATCATAATAAAATCATTTTAGATTCTGAACGGAGTGATGAATGTATTGATTTTACAATGATGTGTTTTTTTGTGTGTGTGTGTCTGTGTACAGCATAACTAGTCGAAATAATGCTTCAATTTCAAACTTTGGGGTGGTTCCCGACGGAAAAGTGAATATCCTTGGTGCATTATAGAGGTCAAAAGTAAACATTTTCCAACAGTTTTCAAAAAAATCGAGAAAAACAAATAAAAGTGACAGGAAAACAAGATTTTTTACGCAAAACCAGTTTTCGACCAAATCAATATTTTTATATGGTTGTAATTCAAAAACTATCACTGTAATTACTTGAAATTTTCACCAACTGTTTATGTTAGTGTTATCTATATACAGTTTAATTTTCAAAAATGTTTGACATTTTTGAGTTATTTATAGACTAATGCAATTTTTGATTCTTATGATTTTGAAGTGTCGCGACCACTGAAATTTTCAATTTTTTTTCGAAGTGTCGGTAAAAAGATTTTGGATGACCAAAAAAACTTGAAAATTTAATACAAGTTCCTTATGAGTTGTTCTTATTGTAGCTAAAAAAAATTAAAAATCGTTGGTCATAATTTTTTTTTAAAAGCATTTATAGTTCAATTTTTTACAAAATCTGTCGAAAACAAGTTTGCAAGTAATTTTGAAGTTGAAAAATCAAAAAAAAATTTGTGTTTATAACTAAGGATTAAAATACAACAATGAGTTTTTCTTCAAGTAGCTATAGAGAAAACTCGAAGCATCATTATAGGAAAAATTTTAAGTGCGTTTGAATTTTAGATTTTTACGAAATAGCGTAACGATAACGATTCATCCTAAAACGATTTTAAACAATTGTTATTATTCAAAAAGTATAAGTCGCAGATACTTGGCATTTTCTTTACATGATTTAATTTTCAAAATATTCTGAATTTTTTGAGGTATTTATAGACAACTGAAATTTTCAATTTTTCTGAAAATTTTTTATTGAAATGTTAATAAAATTAGCTTCAAATAGGTATAGCTATAAAGAAAATTTGAAGCGTTATTATAAGAAAAATGTTTTGAGCGTTTGAGTTTTAAATTTTTATGAAATCGGGTAACGATAACGATTTATCCTCAAACCAGGTATGTGTGTACAGGGTGATTGATTTATCAAACAACACTAATTTTTTCAAAAAATATTGTTTTTTTTCAAATTTTTTTTTTCAAAACTAGATTTTTTACACTCTTCTTGAATTGTATATTTTTTTATATCTTTCACCCTTATATTTATTAGGTAATACACTATCAACTTTTGATTTTCAAATGGTAACCTATACTTAAAATTTCATAAATTAATAGGTAAAGCTATTTTTTTATTAATTATTACGTTAAAATTTTGAATTTAGCGCTAGTAGTTTATGAGTTATAGGTATTTAAAGTTTAGATTGGCGGAGGATTGACGGGGTTACCCCGCAAAATATTTGTCCATTACTCCGCTTGTCTAAACTTAAAATATTATAACTCATAAACTACTTGTCCTAAATTCGATTTTTATGAATCAAAATACTTAGAAAAATATTCTGCTTTGGATTATAAAATTAAAAAACTATATGTTGTCATTCAAAAAAGTAAAAAACTTAAAAAATGATATGGATAAAAAATATTTGAAAATATAATTTTTTAATAAAAGCGTTGGTTTTTTAACAACTTGAAACTATGTAAAAAAATATTTTGAAAAAAGTCAATACTTTTTAAAATGATGAGTGTTGTTTGATAAAAGAATCACCCTGTATAGTATATCTATGATAATAATATAAGGTATTATGAATTATGATAACTACATGCAATGTTTTTGGAAAAATTGATTAACCATGCCTTATGCAAAATGCGTCCTAATTGAAAAATAAAATATTTGTTTCAAAATAGAATATATGACAATATTTAAWTATAATATATCCTAGACTGACAAATCATCCCCGTTCAGAATCGTTTTTCGTATACAATGATACCTATCATTACATTCAAATTTAACCTACCCTAGTCAGAGGTCCMCCCCACCCCCTAATGTACAGCAGAGCGGTACCCACTTACCCGTTTTTTTTAACGGTGTTAATTATTAATAATAATCATTACGTACTCAGTGATAGTAAAATTAGTCCATGTTTCGATTATAAGTTTAGATACATTAAGATCATCCTCTTTTAATTTGGCCTAAATAAGATAAGAAAAAAAAGTCGTATCGTACATAAGTGCCAAAATCCAAGGTACCCGTGACCAACTTATTAAATTTATATTGATATATATATATTATTTCATTATTTACTATTTCCATTTTTTTTTTATAAAATCGCAACTGATTTATTAAATTCATATTTATTTGCATTAATATAATACTACGTTTCAACAATTTATTATTGACATTTTTTTTATGAAATAGCAACCAATGTATTAAATTTATATTGATTTGCATGTATTTTATAATTCAATAATTTATTATTGATCATTTCTTAATTTAATATAATTTTTTATAAGATAGAAATTTTTAAATAACTTCTTATATAAAATATTATTTTTGGCGGAAATGACACGTCATTTTTGCATCTTTGGCGCTTATGTCATAATAGCCTTGTCACCATGCGTTACTCTTAATTTGGTGGGACATGGTCCTAAGTATGAATTAAATGATATTTTTTATTGCATGTTCATAGATATAATAATACACCGGTGATGATAGTTTGATGACCATATCAAATATTTCTTGTAAAAAATTCAGTTATGATATAATTATTTTTATTTCTAACTCTGAATGACAGTTTAACTTGATTAGATTACGGGTATAAGATAAATAATTCTGATATATCACATGCAGTACCAGTTCCAGAATTTTTTTTATATTTTTAGTCTTCAGAGTCGATCAAATATTAGGGTCCCATCTGATTCCTGTTCACTATCTGCTTATTCCATCATTCAGGAAGTAAGTTTGGTATATTAAGGGTTAAATTCAGGGTTTTTAAATCTGCTGATGCCATTGGAACTGAATTTTCTTTTTCTTTTTTCTCCTAATCATTTTTCGTAACCTGTCATTATTTTGAAGGTTTCCCTTTAAGATGATGTCGTCCCTTTTGATTTTATGTAATTTATTTATTAAATAAAAGTCTTCGACTAAAATAAATTAAAACATTTATTATAAAATGTGTTGATCATTTTTATTGTCTTCGCATACATTACAATAACTATTCATGAATTCATCATCTGTCCTTATAATGAACCATTTGATATAGATATTAAATGATTATGATTATCTTAAATAATAACTTTTATATACACAATTATATACCCAGCCTTTAGGATTTTTAAACATTTTTATCCCATAAAATAAACTATTGATAATTCAGAATAAGATATCACATTTTTATGAAATTATACACATTTTATTAACATCAATATTTTTTGTGTATGAATTATAACTTGTGTAATATGATTGTTTTCAAATCAAAGTTCAGTTTTTAAAATCTCTCCTGATTTTTTAAATGCAGATAATAATGGTAAACCTTTCCAAAATTCGTACTCTTCTATAAATGGCTTCTTAGATATGATAGGTTTACTTGAATTGATCAACAAATATTTCGTACTTTTAGAATCCATCAACGGCCATTCTTTTCCATTGTTAGTTCCGTCAATCGTAATTTTACTGAATATCATTAAAAAACATTATTTTTTACTTATTTTAATTATTAACAGAATCATTACGTACTCAGTAATAGCAAAATTAGTCCATATTTCGATCATGAGTTTAGATACATTAAGATCCTCCTCTTTTAATTCATCCTGGCCCTTAGTAAAGAATAGACTTATCATTTCGTCACCATGCGTTACTCCTAAATCGGCGGAGCATGGCCCGAAGTATGAATTAAATGTCATTTTATTTGTATGATCATAAACATAATAATACACCGGAGATGATAGTTTGATTGCCATATCAAATATGCCTTGTAGAAAAATTCCACCGCTAACCATCTGAGAAAAAAACATAAAATGGAGTATAMCATATTGAGTACTTAGTGCATTTTTCTATAACATGATATTACGTGTACTAAATTTAAATKTAATTTATTATTACGTAATTCGGTCAACTAACTTTAACAGTATCTAAACGATTGTCCATATTTCCTTCAGTAAAGTAAYGATTGTATATCTTTTTACTAACTATGGGAAGATCGGACATCTTAGTGGTGTATTTATAAATAAGTAACGACGAAATATAATGATCAAAATTATTCTTCAATTCAAGGTCAACTTCACAGTTTTTATTATAAACACCTATTAAAAAAATAAAAAGTTATATATTTTCATTATTTTTTATGGCATTTCCAAAATAATATAAATTATTCATAATCATACCAATAAAAAAATTAATTGAAGTATAACAATGTGCGTACAAACTACAAACAACTAATATTTTAATTTAATAAACGAATGAATGATTTAAATTGTGTAATAAAAAGGTTTTATTACTTAGTTTAAAGTCAGGATAAGAGCCTGTAAAACCTRATACATATTTTAATCTAAATTTCATTTTATTTTATTTCTTGTGTTTACATTGACTTATTCATTGAATACTAATTTATAACAAAAAAATGTGCAGAGTTCTTCCTTAAAAGGTTAAAACACGTCATGTCACATAAAATTGATTTATTTTCATGAGCATATTTTTTTATTTTTTTTTTTTTACATGAAATATGCATAATAATTTTAAAAAACTAATTACTTATTTATATATATTTGTATATTGTACTTATTATTAATTATTAAATATTAACGTAAAAAAGAATAACTCACGAGCAGCAAAAAGACCACCTTCTCCTGAATTCATTCCCATTAAAATTGGAACATTGCTTTCTTGTTTAAAGTCGAGTAATGGATATTTACATAAAAACCCTGTTTTATTTTTACAGTTTTCAACGACAGGCATAAACGTAATTGCCGGGAACACTTTCCATTCCTATAAGAATATCATGTATTTGTATAAASCTTATTTTACACAAATGACATTCCTATACTTCAATATTTATGTATGTAGGTAATAGTTAACTAAACAATCGATTATATTATTATTATAGTATACCTAATTTTGATATAATTAGTGTATAACATTTGAAGATTATATTCATTCATTTTTTCTTATTGTATAAAATCAAAACAATAAATACCAATATGGATTTGTAGACTTAAAAAAAAAAAGTTATACATATGTAAACACTTACAAAAAAATTGTAGTGAAGATTCACTAATAACTCTGCGGGCATATTCCTCAGGCATTTAGCCAACTGTTCTGAGTCTTCGGGACAACCAGAAATGGTGGCTAATGATAAGGCTCTGCGTTTAGCCAACCCTGGTGGAGATACACCCCATCGACACAAAGGAGTCCCACTTTCCAGAATTGCTTTATGAAATAATCCTAAAAACACATTATGTGAGCAGCAGCTATAGTACCTACCCATATAAAATTTCGAATATGTGACCAAGTTATGCGTTTACCTTTGCTCAGTGGTGATAATAAATGTAAGCCAACACTGACTCCTCCAGCACTTTCACCAAATATTGTTATTTTATTCGGATCTCCGCCAAACTTTTCAATATTACTTTTGACCCATTTCAGTGCTAAAACTTGGTCTTTCATACCATAATTTCCCGGTAAAATATCGTCTTCGGTACTCAAAAACCCTAAGTATAAAAATATAATAGTTGTATTGCTATTCTTTATATCAAATATAATTCATAATAATAGAAGTAGGTAAGTACCTACTATAAGTCATCTAACCCTAAAGTATTTCAATAATTTACCTAGAGGTCCAACTCTGTAGTTAAAAGAAGCAACAACGACATCCTTRTCCAGCAAATAGTGTGGTCCATACAAACTCAGACCTCCATGTCCTGAGCTAAAACCCCCACCTGGTATCCAAACCATAACCGGTAGCAACTCATTTTGATCTTTTTTATTGATCTATAGATTATAATATAACGAAATAAAATTTTGATTTTTACATTTTGTCTAATTTTTAGTAAACTTTAAAAAAATCATATATTAGATCTTGGCAATATTATTAAAACAATTTTTTTCAATTAACCCAATTACCTTAGGGGTATATACATTAATAAATAAACAGTCCTCAGCACCTAAAAGTTCATTATATGATTGATACATGAACAAATTCTTTTGAATACACATAGGTTTTTCTTTGGTTGCATCTAAAATACCATTCCACGAATTGGCTTCTTCTGGATCCTATAAAAAAACCACACTTATTACTTATAAGTAATAGGCAACAACTAAATTACAATTAGTTTTAATATCTACAATGAAAACTCAAAACAAATTTAAAATTTTAGATGTATGATTTAAATACMTGTAATCTAAGATCTCCAATCGGTGATTTTGCATAAGGAATTCCCTGAAACGCTTTAAATTCCCGTCCATTTCTTGACTTTAAAATGCTGCCTTTTATCTTTCCTTGGCTCAAATCCAATATATTATCCGTACCATATACGAATCCGATAAATAGCATAAGAACACCAAATATTTCCATTGTAATTATTAATTTACATAAAATTAATAMAAAAATACAAAATCAAATAAAGCTGCAAAATAAATAGGAGTTATTTTTACTTCTATCCTAATATAAAGTCAATAGCTAGTAATCTATTTTATTATTTAAACACGGTATAAATAAAATAGTAAATTCTCAATTTTGACTCATACAAAAATGTGAATAAAAAATTTACCTCATAGGAAAACCACTCATATATGTCCAGATACTAAATAAAATAATTAATATGTACCGAAGTCACGGAGAAGATTATAGACACTATTAATGTCTATAAACGTCTACTGCAAAGTGTTTGAAATTATAAACAGCTTATATATAAGTATAAAATATACATTTTAAGATGACAATGTCAAACATATTTGCCCTGCAAAACAGTTAATTATAATAGTATTTTAATTATTATTCATGAATTRCATTTTGACCTTCGTATTTCATATTTTTGGTCTCTGCATTTTGGCTATGATAATATTATTGTTGAATAAGTTAGTCTGTAATTATGAATAATGAAAATATTAGTAGTGCAAATAACTTTTCAAAGAGGAAGCTCAAGAACAATTGAATGGATAATCTTAAATTATAATAAACAGAAAACATTATATTCATTCCATTATAATAAATGTTGACTACCTAACTAGAAATAATTTGATAAAAATAATTAAGTTTTTGGATTTATTTCTCAAACCAAAACAATGTTACATAACTATACGTGTCAGTTGATTTTTTTACACGAGTTCTCTCACATTTTTTGTATGATAATTAGCTTAACTATTTGCATTKTTTTGGAATTATAATAATAATTACAAATAAATTATTTTAATATTTTAATAGTTCAACAGTAAAAATATAGATATTAACAAGATATTTTTTCAATGTTTAATTGGACTAATAATAGATTTAATTTTAGATTTTAAATTACTGTAGATACATGCAATTTTCATTGAACTGGCATTTTCAATTCTTGATACAATTTTCAAAATACGAGTATTTCAAAAAATTTTAAGTTATTTATAGACATTTAAAATTTTCTGTTTTTAGTTTTTTATTCTATAATACAATTTTATTCATTGTGTCAAAAAACTTGAAAATGTAATACATGGTTCCATAAGWTAATATAATAGCAGTTAGAAAATATTAAAAATACATAGACACGTTTTTTTTATTACAATTTAAAGTTCAAATTTTAACAAAATGTATTTAATTGAAAATGTGTAAGTTCTCTAGTTGTTAAAAATGTATGAAACGCTTAACTTTTATAGCTATAAAATTTAAAAGTAATACCATTCATCACAGTAACCTAATGTACAGCAGAGCGACATCCACTTACCAGCGTTTTATTATTATTTCTAACAAAAGAATAGTGCATTGAATTGAAATCACATATATCCTCAAATAATTAAATTAAAGTTTAAATAATTAATAAATAGTATTAAAAATATATGTTTTTTGTACAAAAGTAATAAAATTAATTAATTTAAATTAAGAAAATCACATAATAATTCACAAAAAAAGTTAATTTTAACTTTTACATAATTATAAAATACAAATGTACTAATATTAATTTATTACAAAACAACACTAAATTCGATATAATTACAACTCATTTTTAATTTGATCTGGTGGAAACCTATTTTTAGAAATTGCTTTCTCGAAATTAGAAAGGAGAGGCAAACTATTCCAAAAAGTATACTTTTCTTCAAATGGATTTTGTATGATATCTGGATTATCTGAATGTATGTGAAGTATTAATKGCCTCTGTGAATTAAACATTGGCCAAGGTGGACCATTTACTGTCCCATCAATGGTAAGTGATCTGAAATATTGTTTAACATAATGTAATTAATATATTAGGCAATTTTATATTTATATTATTTGTTAAAAGTAACATATTATTTTATATTGAAACACATTCAATATTAATATATTTTGATCTGAAAAACCATTGTCAATAAACAAGTTAGGGTAATATCATTATTTTCTAAACACTTTTTATATATATATATATATATACAAATATGAATAATAACAAGTGCGTAAACTATTAAATATTCAATAGGTACACCGCCATTATGTACATCCTTAACTGAATCATTTTCGAACTAAACCTAGAACATTTTTTTTATTTAACTGAATAATTTTTAATAATTATAAGCTTTAGAACAAAATTGTAGCTGACATAAAAAACTAAATAAGATCATTTAAAAAAAAAAGAAAATTTAATTGCATGTACAATTTAAAAGGTAGTTGTTTCTAATAATTTTGTGTATTTTAATTTGACTTTTTAAATGTATCCATACTAACTCTGCTGTTGCGAATTTCGTCCAAACATCAACCATAAGCTTTGAAACAGCAGTGTCTTTCAAATTAATTTTTTTAGGATTTATAGAGTCCGATTTGAATAGACTAGTCAACTCGTCGCCGTGAGTGATTCCTAACTTTTTATTACATTTACCATATAAAGTATTATAAGAAAATTCGTTTTGGTAATCGTATAAATAAAAATACACCGGTGACACCAACTTAAGAGCCATGTCAAATATGCCATGAAGATAACGACCATCGGTAATCATCTAAAACATCAATATATTTAATTTTGAAAACTTATTCAATAAAGAACAAACTCAAAAGTCTTATAAATATTACTTCAACAGTTTTTAAATRCGAATGATCTCCGATTTTTCCAATTGGAAAATATTTCTTGAGTACTTTTTCACCAATTTCRTCCAAATCGTKTGTGAAATGCTGATGTGACAGTATTATCGATAATAAACGATTAAAATCCGTATACAATTCTGGGTATCGAAGAGACGTGTCGTTGTATAAAGCTAGAACAAATATGTATTGTTACTTTAGATAAGATTGTAAATCAAACAAATCCCACACATAATTGACAATTTTTTTTTTACGATGGTAACTCATCACTTTTTAAAAATGCTGCCACTGACAATATTCAATTTCTGGGCACCAATTTATAACAACTTACAAGAAACTATCATTCCGCCTTCAGCTGAGTTTAGTCCGATAATGGCCGGGACGAATGACTCTTGTCTGAACTCCTTTAACTGATGACGGCAGAGAAACGCTTCTTTGCCCGAGCCACACTGCTCCACTACCGGCGAAAACAATACAGTAGGAAACGAGTGCCATTCCTATATTATATTATATGTCGAAGAAAATAWAATTACTTAAAGCCGAGTTATATTTACTAACAATTTCGGTAGGTTTAATAATATAAAGTTATTAATTTTCAAATGATTTTTTTTTTATGAAAAACCAAACGTAATTAAATTTTCTTACTCGAAGTTTATCATAAACGTCACTGAAAAAACTTTCCGGCAATGTCTTGAGACATCTCAATATATATTTAGAAGATGAGTTTCCATCACATCCAGCTAAACGCAAAATGATTTTACTTCGATCACGCGCTATACCCGGTAGAGACGTACTCCAACGACATAATGGAGTGCCACTTTGAAGAATGGCTTTGTGGAATAGACCTTTACTCATCTGTGATAACATGTGATAACCGGTACTAGCTCCACCAGAGCTCCCGCCGAAAATCGTCACTTTTCYGGGATCACCGCCAAATTTAACAATGTTTTCTTGGACCCACCGCAATGCCTCAACTTGATCTTTCATTCCATAGTTGCCGGGTATAACATCGTCTTCGGAACTCAAAAAACCTATTGCGGATAAATTTATAGTATATTCATACCATTATATAATTATAGGTTATAATTAATATTATTACTGTTATAATTTATAACAGTAATAATATTAAAATAATACTATATACCATCATATACATATACTAATAAACGAATGTAACTAACTAACTTATACAATTATATGTAACTCACCTAATACGCCTAGTCTAAAATTAACCGAGACCAAGACTACATTTGAATCCATAAAATAATCCGGACCGAACATATCCGGATTACTGTGTCCCAAATAAAACGCACCTCCGTGAATCCAAAACATAACRGGAAAATCGCCATCAGTACTTGGTGTGTATACATTTAAATACAAACAATCTTCACTGCTATTAACTTCAGATTTTTGGACACAAGCATTTGAATTTTTAGTGGCATCTAATATACCATCCCATGGATCGACTGGTTCTGGAGCCTACGATATTGTAWWATATATTACATTGGTACCGTAATATTATAACGATTAATGGGCGAGGTACCCACCTCAAATCGAAGTTCTCCAACAGGTGGTTTTGCATACGGTATACCAGTGAATGAATAATAAGGCCGTTCATTTCTAGATTTTAAAATTCGACCATTTAAAATTCCTTTAGTAATTTTTACTTCTACTTTGCAAAATGCCGGACTCAAAAATAATATTATCAAGGCGTACAAAAGCTTTTCTCGCACCTTTGTGTTAAATAAAAACATCTCAATGAATATTCAAATATTTTTATTGTATATTGAAAATAACCATGTATAGTGCAATGCACATACCTAATATATATTGTATTATTTTTAAACGGTCACAATGTCATTTTATACCTATATGGCCATATCGAGTATTCAACGAGGATTTAAAAGAATATAAAATAAAATATTAATCAGTTTCAATAAATGCAGAATATATATCATAGACCTTAAAAAAATGGACCCAARTRCCTGTATATATTTTACTCCTTAAAATATAGTGATAACTAAAAGAGAGACAGGGACCAATATTTCTAGAGAAATAATGTACAACTTAAAACTTTCTATAGGTACGCATTAATATAGAGAGATAGAGAGTAGAAGTTTAATAACAAAGATTACAACATTTTTAGAAAGAGAACATATACCTACACAATTATGCACTCTTTAGGTTCCGAAACACTGTAGTACGCAGGATTTTTCAATAGGGCCCCGGGATTAATAACTTTTAGTTGTCTCAACTCACAATATTAGCTTTGACAAATAAATTAAGTGTTTCTATAGTTCAAACTAATAAAAAAATATAAATATATAATATAATATTAAGAAATACCTACACAAAAAWATATATTTATATWATAAAAATAATTGGCAATAAAGAAGAATTTTATTTTTATTTTGTCCCATCTATATGATAATTTCAGACGTTCAAGTGAACTATTTGAAAATATTTGTTCAACATAAATTTCTGTTAATTGTTCTTTTTTTTATTTATATTGATTATAACTAATTCATATATGTATATACGGCTAATTCGATTATTGTATATACGTCCTTTCTTACTAGTTTACTATGTACGTGCGATTTGATAAATATAAAACAACAACAATATACTCGTAATCATAAAACGAGAAAGTGGAGGCTTTAACTCGTTACCCTCTCCACCCTGCCCACATTCACAGGTATTGACTATCACTCCCTCAACAATCTGTAGCAAGGAGACACTCAGCAGTCCATATATTATATTAATATAATGTCTTTAATTGATAAAGATGTAGAATATACTTGTAAATTTTTTTGATTGGTTTAAAAAAGTTTTTTTCTAGATTACAATGTTTGATGCATTTTCAATACGGTCAATTTGAATAATCATGTCTCTTTTTACTCAATTTAAATACTTATAAGTTATAAATATGTAAACATTATAATAGTATAATAGTTCAAAAATATGTATTTATAAATTTATTTAATACAATATTTGTTAATGTAATTGTTTCATTAAACAATATTATTGGATAAGGTACTTAGTATTTTAATTTATTGATTTAAATTTCAAATTTATGGAAAATGGGTTAAATTATTTATTACATAAGCATCTACAAAAGGCAATAAAAAATATTATTTTTTCTTAAATTCGAGCAAAAATCTTTTTGATGAAAACAAAATATTGATTTTTCAATATACCATCCCTTTAACTATCTAAAAATATTACAAACTCAGATGTAGATTATAATTATTTTTAGTCATCATTAATTTATTTTTAAAGTAACATATATAATTTTACCTGATTTAATGTCCACGTTCTCGAGAAATACATTATAGTCGGCTACGTATAAAAATGTAACTAACTAAACATCATTATATTATAATGAATATTAATTAACTATACTCTGTTCAACGAGAGAACACGTTGGTTCTAAACATTCCCCCTGCGTCACGCTACCATAGTACCATCGACACCATGGTTTGGTCTATGGCAAAATGCCGCGTGGGGATAAGAAGAAGAACATATTTTMGTTGGCTCATGATATGTTCTTTCGCTGAACAGGATATAGAGAAAATTACTTATGTATTTTGAATAAACTTTACTTGTACAATACAATTTTTAATGTAAAATAAACAGTTAGGCAGAATAGAAAGGTGAAATCATGTCATATTGTGTCAAATATTGTATGAGCATAATGACCATATTATACTTAAAATTTAAATTTATTTATTTTAATTTAAACTATCGTTTTTTATATACATACGTCATACATATATAACAAAAACACTTAAATTCAAAATAATAAMCTACTTTTTATTGTTATGCGTATATAGGAAATGCCAAAATGAGAAATGTGAGTAAAATTAAGTTAACATAAAATAGTAGRTAAATTGTGTGAATATGTGTAGTAATCAATAAAAAATATTCTAAATAATTTTTCAATACATTGCATTTTATTATTGTATAAATGGACATGTACTTATAACTTATATAACTACTAAGCTACCTATAAATGCATATTATAAAGAGTAAAAAAATCTAATAATCTAATCTTTATAATTATAGTATGTAGATTACATATTATTATGTAAACATATACTTCAAACAAGGTCAACATTTCTCGATTAGGTGAAAATGATATACAATATGTTAAAATACTGATATTGTTTTCAAATTATTTCAATACCCAAGTTGTAACAAAACTATGAATTATGAAGCATTATAAAATATAATTATRCATATAACACATTAGATATTCCTAAATATTAACTATATATAAATATTTCTATGTAGTAAAATAATTTTAAATACTAGAAAAAAAACTTTTTCACCAAACCTAATCAKCATCAGTTCAGTAGAAATACTTAAAAAAAAATTATGATAACAAATAAAGCAATAACAATACTACTATAATATAGTACATTGTATTGAATAAATACATATTTTTGAACTATTATACAATTTTGATGTTTATATATTTATAAATTATAGGTATTTAAACTGAAAAAATTAAAAAGAGACATGATTCTTTAAATTTATCGTTTTGAAAATGCATTAAACATTGTTATCTAGAAAAAAACTTTTTTAAACCAATCGAAAAAATTTACAACTATATTCTACATCTTTATCAATATTATAGACATTATATTAATATAATATGAACTGTTGTGTTTCTCCCATATCTTGCTATACATTATCGAGTACCAACATTGTAAGAAAGAACCTGTGAATGTGGGCAGACGGGGGAGGGTAATGACTAATGAGTTAGAGTCCCCGCTTGCCAGTTTTATGGTTATATTGTTGTTGTTTTATATTTATCAAATSTCAAGAATAATAAACTAATAAGCAAGGATGTATATATAAGAAATGAATTAGCCGTATATACAATTTACATATACGGATTAGCTATAATCAATATAAATAAAGAAAAGAACAATTAATAGAAATTGATGTTGAACAAATATTTTCAAATAGTTTACTTAAACGTCTGAATTTATCAGATAGACTGGACAAATAAAAATAAAATTCTTCTTTATTACCCATTATTTTTATAATAAAAATATATTATGAATATTTTTTTCTATATAATATTTTTTTTATCAGTTTAAACTATAGAAACACTTRCTTTATTTGTCAAAGCCAATGTAAACTTTTGCAATAGATATTCAATACAAATTGCTTAAGAAATGTACACAGGATGGTACTCTGTATATGATGGATTTTCTTAAATACAAACTGAATACAGGTTGTTTTATTAGATTATGGTGAACTTTTAATTTTGTGTTAGTGATAGGTAGTAATAACTACCACTAAATTAAAAGTAATAAAAGGTCGTGGATGTCACACTATATATGCTGTACAGTAGGTTACAAGTGGGTTACTGTAATGGATGGAATTAAATTTGAATCCAATGATATTATATTATTGTATACTAAAAACGATTCTGAGCGGAGACGGTTTACCTGTTAGGATATATTATAGATTATTAAAAAATTTCAAATCTTAAATATAAAAGAAAAACTTTTATGAATTTCGATCTAAGATAATTTTAACATTACGTTTTCAAGCTTCTTCTACCCAAAAACTACATTTTTATCGATATTAATTTTAAAAACAACAGCGACCACAACGTGTACACTTCCTAATGCATTTTATTAGATATACCAATCCACATATTCGTTAAAAACCCATGACCTTCAACTTCAGGTATTTAATATCATTAAGCAAATATAGTCTAAAATAATTGCATATAAAACGCAAAGATGTTACCATKSGGTAAATTTCTGAAAWACAKATACTGATTTATAAATACCAATTTAAAAAACCGAGTGCCAAAAATAAAAAAAGCGGAAAAGTGGATGTCACTCTGCTGTACAGTAAGTTACAAGTGGGTTACTGTAATGGATGGAATTAAATTTGAATTCAATGATATTATATATGAATATAMTTATATAAACATTCGGTGAAAATTTCTATGGTCGTTTTTTTTAATGTTACATCAAAAACCAAAATTGATTGTGTGTAAAATTTCCCGTTTTTCCCTTAATTTTTAGTTTGTTTATCCCGATTATTTAGAAAAATATTAACTAAATATTTTACTTTTTGACCCCCCAAAGTATCAACTAGATTTATGATCGAACGAAGTACTGAAGTCGAAAATCGAAGCACTTTTACTACTMCAAAACGTGATGACAGACACAAAAAAAATAAAATTAAAACACACATCATGGTAAAATCAATACATWCATCGCTCCGCCCAGAATCTAAAATAAAATTTGTAAATTTCAAATACTGTCTTTAAATAGCTTAATATTATTCATTGAAAACTACCTATATCATATATTGAAAATGTTTTTCAAATTCAACATTTGGTGAAATTTTACGGTGAAATTCTGTACAGGATCAATATTAGATGTTTATGATATTTAAAAGCAAATTCACTTTTACAAAGTYTAATTTCGAGTATTATTCATTATACAGTTTTTTTCTTCATTTATCTTAATTATTGGCAACTATGGGGCATTAGCATTTTGTGAGGAGGTAACGGTTGATTGAGGAACACGTGTGTGTGAGGTAAGAATTCGTCACTGAAAATTCAKGTGGTTATCCATCCTGGAATTAGCGATACCAGCTGACGCTTGACCTCAGAACACTTAATAAGTGACTGAGGCCAACCACCGAGTAACACCACACCTTATTATATAACGTAAATATGTAATAGGTTGTTAAATGAACATTTTAGATTAAAACAAATATCCCTGCCTACCCGTGCGTAATATATTTATATAATTTGATAAAAAAAATATTCAATTAATTTCTTATAGMTATCTATTATTATTTTCTTTAATAACTGCAGATGAATTTCCATTGACTTACGATACTTTTTCAACAAAG